CGAAGCACGACATCCACCAATATCAGGGTCATAAGCGGATCCCTGAAAAGACTGCAGGGGAGGTGCCTGAAGAGCTCACAGGGCTTAGCAGATCACGGACATTAACTGTGCCCTCCGCCTCACAGCACAAATCCTTCCTCTCAACACCCTTTCCACATCTATCTAGGGAAGCATAAGTGAACCGGAAGTCGCAGAATGCCGTCACTCCAACGCGATACAGCAGGCTTAAATCCGTTGCCATTGAAGCTCAGAATTTTTTTTTAAAGGGACTAGTTGTTTAATAACTGGAGTCACTAAGGTCTTCCTGGGCTCTGAGCTATTTGTTACAAGGGGCGGACATCTCCAAGAATTACTGGTTAGGCCCAGAATTTGTGCTGAAAACTGTTGTATTAAAATTTTCTCCACACCGAGGCACAAGGTCTGTTGGGCATGAAGAAGACATGAAAACTGTGTGAAATAGTTTGCACCTGTTCCTCCAGGTGTTCTGAGAATGTATGCTTTAAATATAAACAAATAGGGTCTTTGTTAGTTTGTTTATTTGCAGGGCCTGGCCTTGAGCATGGGAGGCAAATTGTCTAGGTCAGTGGCCTTCAAATATTTTTGGCCATGTACTGTTACTGGTAACAGTTTCTGGAAATCATACCTTGAATCTTCACCCCTCCCTTTTATCTGTACACACACACACACACACACACACACACACACACACACACAGAGAGAGAGAGAGAGAGAGAGAGAGAGAGAGAGAGAGAATTGTAAATAGGCATACTAGACTAAGTCTCAGCTGCTTCCTTATTTTCAGAAAGAAGCTAAAGAAGCTAAGTATAAGAAATACCTTCACGGACTTCTAGCACTTAGGTGGTGCTTGCTACTTTGGGATGCCTGGGTCTCCCTGAGAGTCTGTCCTATTCAGCGAGGAAGCAGAGTCCAAACTTGTCTTGGTTATGTGTTCAGAAGTATAGACCTGAAGCAGAAAGGGACCTCAGAAACACCTGCATCAGTTGCATCTCTGAGTTCTAATTTTGGGAAATGTGATCAGGTGTCCCTGGAAAAGGAGATATAAGGTCAAAGGAGGCTGGGCAACTTGTGTGTGGGCCACTTTAAATCAGTGCCTTCACAATAGAATTCTACAATCGTCCAGATTCAAAGGGGCGTTGGGAACCTTGAAAGGGGGCTTAGATCATTGATTCTTCAAAATAAAACAACAGCTAATGTGGGACTCCCTCCCACTGAGAACATGCTGGAAAACTGCCTTTACAGGCTCATTTTATGCAGGGGTGTGGGTCACTCTGTTGTTGGTTCATGCACTAAATGAACAGTTTTGCAGGAAACCATCCCCTGAGAATAGGGCCCACACTCTAGGACCCCACTCAGTAGCCTGGCTGTCATAACTTCCATCGCTTCTCAGAATGCCCAGAGTGGCACTATGTGGGCACTGGGGACAGACGGCTTGAATCTGACACTTGGGCTGGGAACCATTTCCTGAACTTTGTCCCATGAGGAGTCAAGGTGAGCGAGAGGATAGAAAGCACAGTGCAAGGTCTTTCTGGTCTCTCAGGACGTGCATGTGGTCAAACCATGGAGCTAGGCTGTTTGGGGGATGGGGAGTCAGTCATGCTTCTGACACTTTAGTTTTGAAAATTTCATTACATAGATATTAAGCTATACTGACAGACAGGATCCCTTTGCTCACAGCTTTGGAACCCTTCTGGGCAGTCTTGTTCATATATATATATGTGTGTGTGTGTGTGTGTGTGTGTGTGTGTGTGTGT